TATGTATGTATGTATGCATGTATGCATGCATGTATGCATGCATGCATGCATGCATGCATGCATGTATGTATGTATGTATGTATGTATGCATGTATGTATGTATGTATGTATATATATACACACATACATATGTATACACATTTTCTTGTTCACCCGATTTTGCCCTCGTCCTGGCTTCGTCCCAGCGGTGCGGTGGTCGTGCAGGCCGGCGACGTCGGGCGGCAGCCGCCCAGACGCGGGGGCCGCCCTGCATGGCCTTTCGCCCAGGGCCGAGCCGAGCCACTGCCAAGGGGCGCTGGGTCGAGCTCGGAGGCTCCTGCACTGGCCAGCTTGCTCGGGGGGCGGAGTGAAAGGGGGGGGGAGGGGGAGTTCCCCCCCCCTCCCCCCTCCTCCTCGCCTCCGAGAGGACGGGGAGGGGAGGAGGAGAGGAGGGGGGGAGGGACGAGGAGGAGGAGGCGACTCCAGAGGAGTGGCGCCTGCTTTTGTGTACCGCCGCGCTTTTTCCGTGCTCCTGAACGCGACTTCTTCCACAGACGGGCACGTTCCAAACCGCATGGAGCGAACTGGTGGGGGAGGGGTCGGGTGGGAAGAGGGGGGGCATGATACGGAAGACGGTTGTAGGAGGAGGGGACCAGGCGGGGGAGGGGGTGGGAAAGAGGAGGAGGGGGAGGAGGGGGAGGAGTGGGAGGAGGAGGCGGAGGACGCGGAGGATCGAACGCGAGTTGGGGAGGTGGAGGAGAAGGAGGAGGATGATGAGGAGGAGGAGGTGGATGAGGAGGAGGAGAAGGAGGAGGAGTAGGAGGAGGAGAAGGAGGAGGAGGTCCAGAAACAGCTGTATTAGCACCTTGGCCTTTCCCGCCAGCGAATACAGGTTGGTACCTGATATTTTAGATAGCTGGATTTTCCAGAGTCTAATTTTTGTATTCTGGCACATGACACGATCTCAGGACATGTGATTCGGATGTTTTCGGGATTTGTCAACAGGCGAGTTCACGGACGAGGCCCGACGGCCCATGCATGCTGCTGGAAGGGGCCACTGCGGTGACTGCAGTGAGCACTTGTCAGGTGCCGAGGCAACATCCACATATTCTTGTTTCTTTAGAAGGTGTGTACATCAATCGAATGGCGTTCGGCCCATCCCGCCACCGTACCTGAGTTGTGGGTATGAAGCCTATGGGATGTTCGTTGGGATCTCGTGGGAGGCTTCTCGGGGGCCTCTTGAAGGAAGTTTGGACGCCTCTTGGTGGCTGTTTAGGGGCCTCTTGAGGCCTCTTGAGGCCTCTTTTGGGCCTCTTGGTCGCCTCTTGGACCCTCTGTTGGGCCTCTTGGGGCGGAATGCTCGGATTTTTCGGTTCGTCTTCCCTCTTTTGGACCCGCTTTCGAGCCGTCTTGGGGTCCTCCTGGGCCGTTGTGGGTGCCTCTTGGGCTGTCTTGGGGCCCTCTTGGGCAGTTTTGGGGCCCTCTTGGATGCTTCCTGGGCTGTCATGGGGCGGTCTTTTGGGCCTCTAGGGCTGCCTGGGAGCGTCGGGACGCCGAAAAGGCGAGAATGCCCATATCTTTCAAACACCGAAGGCACATCAATAATGTTGACCTCTTGGTGCCCTCGGGAGGCCTCTTGTAGGTCTCTTTGGGCGTCTTGGAGGCCTCTTGGGCCGTCTGGGGGCTATCTTTAGCGTCTTGGAGCGATCGTTCGGCGACTTGGGGTCCTCTTGGACCGTCTTGGGTGCATCTTGGTGCTCTCTGGGTCCGTCTTGGGGCCTTCTTGGGCCCGAAAGATTCACGAGGGGACACTCGGGGGAGCCCAGGGGAACCGCGCCACGCCCGAGGAGATTTGGGCCGAGGGGCTCCGAACCTCTGAAAGACTCTTTAGGAGGGAGGACTGATGCTTAGACGGGTAGTGAGAGGACCGGAGGATACACCCACTCAGTGCCCAGAGGCACGGTGGCGGCTGTGGGTATGTGTGCATAAGTGTGTGTGTGTGTGTGGATATCTATATGTGCATGTGTATTTGCACGTGTATGTATGTATGTATGTATGTATGTATGTATGTATGTATGTATGTATGTATGTATGTATGTATGTATGTATGTATGTATGTATGTGTGTATATATATATGTATGTATATGTGTATGTATATATGTATGTATGTATGTATGCATGCATGCATGCATGCATGCATGTATGTATGTATGTATGTATGCGTGTATGTGTGTATGTGTGTATGTGTGTATACATGCATGCATGCATGTATGCATGTATGTATGTATGCATGCATGCATGCATGCATGTATGTATGTATGTATGTATGTATGTATGTATGTATATGTGTATGTATGTATGCATGCATGCATGTATGCATGCATGCATGTATGTATGTTTGTATGTATGTATGCATGCATGCATGCATGTATGTATGTATGTATGTATGTATGTATGTGTGTATGTGTGTATGTGTGTATGTTTGTATGCATGTATGTATGTATGCAGGTATGTAATGTAATGGAATGTCATGTATTGTAATGTAATGTAATATAATATAATGTAGTGCGATGTAATGTAATGCATTGTCATGTCATGTAATGTAATGTGGTGTAATGTAATGTAATGTAATGTAATATAATGTATTGTAATGTATTGTAATGTAATGTAATGTAATGTAATGTAATGTATGTAATGTATGCATGTATGTATGTATGTTTGTATGCATGTATAGGTGTGTGTATGTATGTATGTATGATGAATGTATGTATGCATGTCTGTATGTATATGTATATGTATGTATGTATGCATGTATGCATGTACGCATGTATGTATGTATGTATGTGTGTATGTATTTATGCATGTACGCATGTATGTATGTATGTTTGTATGTATGTAATGCTATGTAATGTAATGCCATGCGATGCAGTGTAATGTAATGTAATTTGATTTATTGTGATGTAGTGTAATATTATGTAATGTAAAGTATTGTAGTGTAATGTAATGTAATGTAACGTATTGAATGTAGTAATGTATGTATTGTATGTATGTATGTATGCATGAATGTATGTATGCATTTATGTACGTACGTACGTACGTACGTACGTACGCATGCATGCATGCATGCATGCATGCATGTATGTATGTATGTATGTATGCATGTATGTATGTATGTATGTATGCATGTACGTATGTATGTATTTGTGTATGTATGTATGTATATACACAAGCAGGGCCCCCCCAGGCTGTTAGAGAGGAGAAACGCTGGGATCGAACAGTCAATCCAGCGGAGGCCTAGGTCAAACCAGAGGGTCACACAATGAGTTTTTCATCCCCAATCCCCGAGTTCCATGGGAAATCGGGCGCTCAGAAAAGAAGGCAAACTCGTGGTTACACCCCCGGGAGGCGGATGCCCCGCTGTCGAGGATGGACGTGCTCCCATCGTTATCCATGAGATGGGCCTTGTTCAGTCGAAAGCCCCTTAGCGTTAGGGATTGGGGTTGCCATGCCCCTCGGCAAGAGGAGGCCGTGGCCCTTGTTGAGGAGGGGAGGCGGAGCGCGCCGAGGCAAGCACTCGCCCGAGCTGGCGCAGACTGTGGTGGACGCCGGAGCCGTATCACTGTTGGCGAAGGCCGCGCTGGCTTCGGGTCGAGGAGAAGGAGGAGGAGGAGGAGGAGGAGGAGGAGGAGGAGGAGGGGTGAGGAGGAGGAGGAGAAGAGGAGAAGAGGAGAAGAGGAGAAGAGGAGAAGAGGAGAAGAGGAGAAGAGGAGAAGAGGAGGAGGAGGAGGAGGAGGAGGAGGAGGAGGAGAGGAGGACGGAGGAGGAGGAGGACCAGAGGCAACCTAAGATGCATCGACCATGCTGCCATATGCCCCCCCGTCCCAAGTCTCCTCCTCATAGAGTCCCTGCAAGGCTTCCCTTTGACAGCAAGAAGCGCCCCCTGGAAAGACCAGCACCCCATGGGCCTGCCACTCAGGGGAGAGCCCCGTTTTGGAATGGAAAAAATGCCTTGCGTCCTTCTGGCGAGTCGTAAGGTATGATCGTGCAGTTCCATGAGGTGTCAAGCAGGACCCCCGTTTTGAAAAAGGACCGCCCCCCCGTCTGTGTAGCCATTGGACAAGTTTCCACTTCATTGTCGTGAACTTCGAAGAAGTCTCAAGGGAGAGCCCCGTTTTGACGACGGAACGGTCAAATCTCAAGGACACCTCAAGCGAAGCGCCCGGCCCAGTCTACGGACAGGCCTGGTGGTGCGCCAGGGGGAGCAAATTGTGAACCGAATGGACGGAGAAGAGGGAGCCCCCCTGCCTCGTGGATGCTGAAGCCCCTGCGGTCCAGCCCAGTCCAGCTCCAAATGCGGGGCACACACATGTACATCACCACCACCTCCCTCGACCACCTCCCTCGTCCCTTCCCTCTCCCAGGAAGGAGCAGAGGAAGAGGAGGGAAGAGGAGGGAGGAGGAATGGATGCCTGAGGGACGAGGAAGGAGGAGGAAAGAGGAGGGAAGATGAGGGAAAGATGAAGAGGAGAGACCAGGAGGGAGGAGGAATGGAGGTGGTGGTGGTGTATATTCTTGGGACCCTCACACACTGCCTCCCCATCAGCAGACCCCTCGGCGCGAGCACGGCGCTCCGCGCGCGCGCGGCCCCGCTGCGCGGTCTCCTCGCTGGAGGATGCCAGCTGAACAGCTACACCGATGCCAGCGAGATGGATCCTGAGCCCCGGATCTCAGGGGAGGAAAGGGTAACGATACCGCTGCCCTTCTCCTGTTTTTCCCCTTTTTCGGCCTCCTGGGAGACCCTCGTCGCCACCGCCGGATTCGTCTCGACATTTTTGCGAGAACGCACCCCGGGAGAGGTCCGCTTGCAAGGCACACCGTGTCGCCGTGGCTGCCGCCGCGACGCGCTGTGCACGAGCTCCGGACCGAAGGCGCCGCTCGGGGGCCCGGGATCGACCCCGCCAGGCTCGGTCCAGCTGTGCAGTTAGCGCCCTCCCACTGCCGCCCCGGGCGCGCGCCGCCGATGGCGCCCCGTGCGCGCGCCGCGCGCCGGGGCATCGCGCTCGCCGCCTGCATCCTCGGCTGGGGGCCGCGGGCGCCCGCGAGCCCCGGCTCCGCCTTCTGCGCCGGGCGCCGCTGCCGCCGCCGCCGCTGTCTGTCGTCGTCGCCGCCGCCGTCGCCGTCGCCGTCGTGGTCGCCTGCGTGGCCGCGGTCGCCGTCGTGGTCACCGTCGCCGTCGCGGTCGCCTTCGTGGTTGCCGTCGTGGTCGCGGCGGTCGCCGTGGTGGTCGCCGTCGCCGTCGCCGTCGCCGTCGCCTTCGTGGTTGCCGTCGCCGTCGCCGTCGTGGTCGCCGTCGTGGTCGTCGCCGTTCGTCCCTGGGAGGCGGCGACGGGGCCTCGGCGCCCGCCCGGGCCCGCGCTCGGGGTGCCCGGTGGGGGCTGGCGGCGCGGGGACCGCGGTCGACTGCGTGGACATGCGGGGGGGGGACCTCGAGCCACGGGGCAGCGCGGAGCCTCCCCTTTCGGAGGAGGGCCAGCCGAGGACGCCGGCGGCCCTCCCTGGCGCTCGCGGCCCTGTCTGGGCTGCCTATGGAGGCTTCTCTCGTCGCCACGGCCGGACCCGCCCGGAGGGGACGGTCCGGAGGGGCGCAGGGAGGAGTCCGGGGACCGATCTCGAGGTGGTTTGGGCCGGGCGCGGCCCTCCTCCGATCCCATGGGGGTCGAGAGCATCGTGCGGGAGGGTTCCGTCCAGTCTCGGCCTCCAGGGGCCCCGTGTCGGGCCCGAGGGCCGTCGGAGGCCGATCCGTGAGGAGCCGCTGGCCAGGGTGGGCCACGGGAGGGGCCGAGCCTGGGCGGAGTCTGGGTGCAGCAGGGGGAGGGCCCCTGACGTGCGGGCGCCGTCGTGAGAGGGCCACGGCTCTCGGGCCCCCGGGGCCCTCACGTAGTTAGCATCGCAGGCCGACTGGGCTCTCGAGGGGCCTCGCGCGGAGATGGGGCCGAGGGGGCTCTGGCCCGGGCGGAGGCTTTGCGCTCTCGCGGCGGCGTGCTCTTTCCCCTCGGCGTCGGACGTCGGGAGAGGGCAGGGGGGCGCTCACGCCCAGAGCACGGGGCAGGGGCCTGGGTCGCGGTGGGCGGGTGGGGCGAGGGAGGCCCTGCCGCGCGCGAGGCTCTCGAGGCCACCCCCTGGGCGTTGCGCGCCTGGCGGCCAGGTGCGTGCAGCTGGGGGACGCTGCGGGGGCGAAGATGCGGGAGGTGCAGGCGCGGCCGAGCATCGACGTTGTGGACAAGGGGGGCGAGTACGACGCCCAGGTCGGGGGGCGACAAATATATGTATAATATATGTGTATATGTATGCATGTATGCATGTATGCATGTATGCATGTATGCATGTATGCATGTATGAATGTATGTATGTATGCATGCATGTATGTATGTATGTATGCATGTATGCATGTATGCATGCATGTATGCATGTATGCATGTATGTATGTATGTATGCATGTATGTATGTATGCATGTATATATGTATGTATGTATGTATGTATGTATGCATGCATGCATGCATGCATGCATGTATGTATGTATGCATGCATGTATGTATGTATGTATGCATATATGTATGTATGTATGTATGTATGTATGTATGTATATATATGTATATATGTATCTATGCATGTATGTATGTATGTATGTATGTATGCATATATGTATGTATGTATGTATGTATGTATGTCTGTCTGTATGTATGTATGTATGTATGTATGTATGTATGTATGTATGTATATATGTATATATGTATCTATGCATGTATGTATGTATGTATGCATGTATGTATGTATGTATGTATGTATGTATGTATGTATGCATGCATGTATGTATGTATGTATGTATGCATGCATGCATGCATGTATGTATACATGTATGTATATATGTAGGTATATATGTATGTATGTATGTAGGTAGGTAGGTAGGTAGGTAGGTAGGTAGGTATGTAGGTAGGTAGGTATGTATGTATGTATGTATGTATGTATGTATGTGTGTATATATATATATATATTTATCCACATCCCCTGGCCATGCCCACCCTGGGCCCAGGAGCGAGGTCCTAAGGCCCTGAGGCGTGACAACGTCGAGCCGTCGGAGGTCGGAGCTTTTCCGGCGGCCGGCGGCCGCTGCATGCGGCGACGAAGCGCTGCCCTGGGTGGGGGAACCGCATGCGAAGACCCCCACTGGGGCCTTCGGTGGAGCTCCCTATGGGGCCACGAAGCGCTGCCCTGGGTGGGGGACCCGCATGTGAACACCCCCACTGGGGCCTTCGGTGGAGCTCCCTATGCGGGCACGAAACGCTGCCCTGGGTGGGGGAACCGCATGCGAACTGCGCCACTGGGGTCTTCGGTGGAGCTCCCTATGGGGCCACGAAGCGCTGCCCTGGGTGGGGGAACCGCATGCGAACACCCCCAGTGGGGCCTTCGGTGGAGCTCCCTATGGGGCCACGAAACGCTGCCCTGGGTGGGGGACCCGCATGCGAGAGCAACCACTGGGGTCTTCGGTGGAGCTCCCTATGGGGCTGCGGAACGTGTGAGAGGTGTGCCGAGAGCAGAGGCAAGGAGGGGGAGGAGGGAGGAGGGGGAGGAGGAGGGGGAGGAGGCAGGTAGGAAGGAGGAAGGAGGAAGGAGGAGACGCGGGGCGATGTCTCTTCAAAACGAGGACCGAACACCACAGGATGGTTGGGAAAAATGGAAGTCCTGGAATCTGTGTCTACTTATTGTGAAGGCCTGACGGCCGGTGCCGCCGACCCTGAAAGACATCGACGACGACCAGGAGGGGGATGAGGAGGAGAAGGAGGAGGAGGAGGAGGAGATGGAGATAAGGAGGAGGAGGAGGAGAAGGAGGAGGAGGAGGAGGAGAAGGAGGAGGAAAAGGACTCCCCGCTGGGACCCCCCCCCCCTGGGGAGGAGGACAGGAGGAGCGGCGTGGGAGAGGGGAGGTGAGCGGGAGGAGGACCCCCAGGGACGGATGCGTATCTGACTCCCCCCCCGCCCTGGGGACTTCTCTCTTCCTGGGGAGGAGGACCCGAGGAGGACCGGCGCGCCGGAGAAGGACCGGCGTGGGAGAGGAGGACCCCCAGAGGCGATGCGAATCTGAACCCCCCCCCCGGGACGCCCTCCCCCCTGCCGGGGAAGGGACAAAGGGAAGGGGCTCCCGTTTGACGTGACGAGGACGTGGATGGAATTCCCTCAAGCTGCGAACCCGTTCCCCGAACGAGGAAGGGTGCTCTCTCTCTCTCTCTCTCGTTCCCCCGACGGGAGAGGAGGATGAGAAGGGGACGAAACAAGGCTCCCCGTCGACGGGACTGGACAGACACCCCGCACACGCCTACAGGGTCGGCGGATTTGTACGTTTCTGGACCCCTTTCAGTAAAATTCGTTGGCTTACGCCACACCGCCGACCGAATCCCTGTTGCGGCTTCTGGGTGCTGCGTGACTTATGCTTGTATTTGTATCGAAGACGCCTACGGCGAGTCACCGCCGCCCCCTACCTTTTTGGAAGCGCCTGAATGGCCGAAAGTTGGGTTTGAGCTCGGCCAAACTATCGGGCCACGCGTTCCCCGAGTGGGTTTCGAAAGCTTTCGGGGAACACGGTGTCGGGCGAGCTATCGGACCAGGTGGTTTCCAAGCTTTCGGGTTTCCTGGAGGACCTCTTGGAGGGCTCTTGGGCCGTCTTGGAGGACTCTGGCGGGCCTTCTGGGCAGTCAAAGGCTACCTTCAGGCCATTTGGGGCCATCTTGGGTGTATCTTGGGGCCATCTTCGCCGTCTTGGAGGCCTTCTTGGCCGTCAGTCTTGGAGGCATCTTGGAGGCCATCTTGACCGTCTTGAATGCCATCTTGGGCGTCTTGGGGGCCTTTTGGGCCGTCTTGGGGTCTTTTCGGGGCTCTCTCGGGGGTCTCTTGGGTTGTCATGGGGCCATCTTGGAGGCCTCTTGTGCGGTCTTGGGGCGATGTTGGAGGCCTCTCTTTGGCCGTCGTCGGCCATCGGAGAGCTGAAAAGACGCAACAGCCAAAACATTTCAAAAACCGAAGGGAAATCAATTCATGTCGTCCTTTCAGGTAGGTCTTCCTGGTGGAGCTCTTGGAGGGCTCTTGGGGCTCTCTTGGGCAGTCATAGGGCAATTTTGGAGCCATCTTGGGCCGTCTTGGAGGCATCTTGGACTCACTTGGGCCGTCATGGGGACATCTTGGACCATCTTGGGCGCATTTGGAGGCCATCTTGGGCCATCTTGCCCGTCTTGGAGGCATCCTGGAGTCCATTTGGGGCCATCTTGGGGATGAAAGGCATTGACATGTGCAGTCGGGGGTCTCTTCGGGTGGCCGGCGGGAGGGGCCGAAACCCCAGTGAGTATTCTGAAAGAACCAAAACCGTTCAGGATCTAACACGCCAGGCAGCCCTGTTAAATCAACAGGGGGCGGCTGATCGAAGACGCCTACGAATCACCGCCGCCTCCTGCCCCTTTGGAAGCGCCTATGTGGCCGACAGCTGGGCTGGATCTTGGCCGAGCTATCGGGCCAGTTGTCCCCCCCAAAGCCCAAATCCTTCAACAACCCGAGGAACATCAATGATTTTAACCTTGTCGGGCCTTCCTGGAGGACGTCTTGGAGGGCTCTTGGGCCGTCTTGGAGGCCTCTTGCGGGCCTATAGGGCGTCTTAGGCCATCTTGAGGCCATCTTGGGCCGTCTTGGGTGCATCTTAGGACATCTTAGCCTTCTTGACGGCCATTTTGGGCGTCTTGAAGGCATCTTGGAGGCCATCCTGGCCGTCTTGAATGCCATCTTGGGCGTCTTGGGGGCCTTTTGGGCCGTCTTGGGGCCTTCTTGGGGCCCTCTCGGGGGTCTCTTGGGCTGTCGTGGGGCCATCTTGGAGGCCTCTTGGGCACTCTTGGGGCGATGTTGGGGGCCGCTTGGGCCGTCTTGGGCCGTCGGAGAGCTGAAAAGGAGCGGGAGGACGTCTTGGACTCTCTTGGGCCGTCTTGGAGGCCTCTTGCGGGCCTTTTGGGCAGTCTTAGTTTTAGGCCATCTTGAGGCCATCTTGGGCCGTCTTGGGTGCATCTTGGGGCCATCTTGGGCGTCGTGGATGCCATCTTGGCCGTCTTGGAGGCATCTTGGAGGCCATCTTGGCAGTCTTGGAGCCCATCTGGGGTTTCTTGGGGGCCTCTTGGGCCGTCTTGGAGCCTTCTTGGGGCCCTCTTGGGGGCCTTTTGGGCCGTCCTCGGGCCGTCTTGGAGGCTTCTTGGGCACTCTTGGGACGATCTTGATGGCCTCTTGGGCAGTCTTGGGCCGTCGGAAGGCCGAGAAGCAATCCATCAAAAACCTATGGAAAATCAATGATTTTGACCTCTTCGAGCCGTCCTTGAGGACCCTGGAGGACCTCTTCGAGGCCTCGTGGGCCGTCTTGGAGGCGTCTTGGAGGCCTCTTGGGCCGTCTTGGGGCCCTCTTGGGGCCTTCTTGGGGACTTCTTGGGCCGTCATGGGGCCATCTTGGAGGCCTCGTGAGCGATTTTGGGACGATCTTGGGGGCCTCTTGGACCGTCGTGAGGTCTTCGGAAGGCCGAAACGAAGCAAATGCCAAAATCCTTCAAAAACCTAGGGACAAAATAATCATTTTGGCCTCTTCGAGCCCTCCTTGAAGACCTCTTGGAGGCGTCTTGGGGGGCTCCTGGGCCGTCTTGAACCATCTTGAGGTTATCGTAGGCCGTCTTAGAGGCATTTTGGGCCATCTTGGAGGCATCTTGGGGCCATCTGAGCCGTCTTGAAGACCAGGTTGGCCGTCGTGGAGGCGTCTTCGAGGCCATCTTGGACCATCTTGGGCGAACCTGGAGGCCATCTTGGGCCATCTTGGCTATCTTGGAGGCCATCGTGGAGCCGTCTGGAGCCGAAAAATCCTTCGCAACCACCTGTTGTGCATCTCTGCGCGCCCTTCCGTGTGGCCGGCGGGACGGGCCGAAGCCCCAGGGGGCCTAGCACGCCAGGCACCCCTTGGGCAAGCACACAGGGGGCGGCGGATCGAAGACGCCTACGGCGAATCACCGCCGCCCCCTGCCCTTGTGGAAGCGCCTATGTGTCCGACAGATGGGCTAGAGCTTGGCCAAGCTATCGGACCATGTGTTCCCCGAGTCGGTTTGGAAAGCCTTCGGGGAGCGCGGGGGGGAGGAAGGGGAGGAGGAGGAGAAGGAGGAAAAAGGAGAAGGGGGAGGATGCCTCTTCAGAGCCTCTTGAGGCAGTCTTGGGCTAGATTGGACCATCTTGGGACCGTCT